CTTAGCAAGATCCCTTCTCAAAATAAAAACTTAAAAAGGGCTGGGGGCTGGGGATGCAGCTCACTGCAAAGGTCCTAAGTTTAATCCCCAGTACCACAAAAGAAAAAGCAAAGGTAACTGGAAACTTCTTCTTCTTCTTTTTTTTTTAAAATGCCCTGGTTTAAATTTCTCTGCAATAATTGCGGCAGCACTTGAAAATCAGTCATGCTTCAATGAGGAACTAAAGTCCAGAACCGGCCGGTGACTCACCTGAGCTCACCAGCAGGACTGGCTTCTCACTGGAGTCCACAGCCCAGGATTCTTGGTTTCCTTTCTACTCATTCTCGCCCCTCACCACAACCCTCCCATTTCCCGCGGGCTCCTACCCAAACCACAGCCCCTGCCCACTGAGACCCACTTGTGGAAACTGAGGCTGGAGGCTGGTCTGGGCCTATCCTCCAAGCAGGTGGTCAGAGGCTGGCCCCACCCTTGGGGCCCTTTAGTTTCCATCACAAGGCCACGCCTGGCAGCCCAGGGGCCCCCTTTCTGTCCCTGCAGCCCAAGGCTGGCCTCTGGGGAGGAGCAGAAGGCTGATAGTGACCTCGGGGCCCAGGCTGCTTGCGGTCCTTCCAGTCACTGTCATGAGCAGAACCTGGGTCAGGCAGTTGTGGTGGAAGACTCATTTGTTCAACAGCAATTCATTCTGGAGACACATCAGGCAAAATTCTCACCCTCATGGAACCTATGTTCTAATGCATGGAGACAAAGTATTTTGGATATTCTCAGCAGAAAAATAATTTATGGAGGGGTTAGAAGAGCCGGGGGAGGGTTGCATTTCTTCAGAGTGGTCAGTGAAGATGACATTGGAGCAGAGAGCTTAAGGAAAGAGTAAACTTTGCAGACATCTGAAAGCGTTTTTTTAAATTTTAAAGCATTTAAAAAATCTTTCCATTCCTTTTCCATTGGAATTTGTGAGAATTTTTAATAAGCCCCTCCCCCCACATAAAAAGCTTTGTTTCCATTTTTCCTTCTATTTTCACTTTTTTTCTTGTCCCTTCCTTCCTTCCCCCCCGGCCTCCTCCCTTGTTCCCCTTCCTATTTGGACGCTTTCTTCCCATTGCCCAACATCCATTATGCATCTCAGTCCTCATTTCCACTTTCAGTATTCACACCAGAGAAACAGTGCAGTATTTAAACATGTGTGTCTGATTTATTTCACTAGAGTATAGTCTCAAGGTGCAGCCATTTAGCTAGAAATGTCTCAAGCTCATCCTTCTTTATGACAGAGCAGTATGCCATTGTATAAAAAACCCACACCTTCTTTATCCACTTGTCAGTTGACAGGCGTTTGGGCTGTTTCCAAAATTTAGCTATTACGTACTATGCTGCTGGGCTGGGGATTTAGCTCAGTGGTTCCTCCACCTGCCTTGCAAGCGCAATGACCCGAGTTCCATCCCCGGTACCAAAAAAAAAAAAAAAAATGAGTGTGCAAATATCGCTGTGACATGATGCTTTTAATCCTTTCAGGGAGATACCAAGAAGAGGAATAGCTGGATTGAATGGAACCTCTAGTTTTAGTTTTTTGAGAAATCTCCACACTGATTTCCACAGTGGTTGCACCCGTCTGCACTCCCACCAACAGTAGAGAAGGGTTCCTTTCTCCCCACATCCCCGCCAGCATTTGTTATTGGTTGATTTCTTGATAGCAGCCATTCTTCCTGGAGTGAGATGGAAACTCAGCGTTGTTTTGATTTGCGTCTCTCAGATGACCAGTGATGTTGAACATTTTTTTCATATATTTATTTGCCATTTCTATTCTTTATCTGAGAAATGTCTGTTCATTTCAGATGCCTTTTTTTGGATTGGGTCTTTAAATTTGGGAGGTCTAATTTTTTTGAGTTCTTCATATATTCTAGATAATAATCTTTTATCTGAATAGCTGGTAAAAATTTTTCCCCACACTGCGGTTTGTCTTTTCACTCTATTGGTGGTTTCTCTTGCTATGCAAAAGCTTTTTTTTTTTGGTACCAGGGATCAAACTCGGAACCTTGTGCTTGTGAGACAAGCGGTGAAACCACTGAGCTAAATCCCCGGCTGGCAAAAGCTTTTTAATAACATGAGGTCCCAGTTGTTGATTCTTTGTAGTATTTCTGGGCAGTCTGAGTTTTCTTCATGAAGTTTGAAAGAGTGTTTTAGAGAGTAGAAAGCAAGTGCAGAAGCCCTAAGGCCCGAGTGGGCTTGTCTAGAAGCAAGAGGAGGCCAGTGTGTGGGATCAGTGTGAATCAGGTGAGAGTGAGCAAGTCATAAAAAATGTGAAATGTCCATTTGAGACAAGGTTTGTGGCAGGAAGGGACACACCATTAAAAGCAAAGCCGTCAACGAGGATATGGGTTCCGTGAAGGTTGGAGAGAGGGCAGCCCTCAGAAGGCGGTGGGGGCTTTCTGGCAGAGCACAGTTGTGCTGTGGAAGGCAAGGAAGCGTGAGGTGTCCCTCTATTCACACTTGCGAGTGCAAAGTTGCAGAAGCTGGAACGGGAGAGTGTGGAAGGATCAGCTGTAGCCCTGGAGGGGCAGAGGAAGCAGCAGGGACGGGGGCCTGGGGGAGCCCTAGGAGAAGGCTGAGAGGGCCAGAGGCTGTGGCCAGAGACAGGGAGAGTGGGCTCAGGCATGGAGAAGGGCATCAGTGTGGGTGATGGCAGGGGCAGGGGAGAGAGCAGAAGGGAAGACCGAGGGGTCAAGGGTGAGTGGGGTGGCCATGCCTCCAGGGAGGCAGCAGGGCTTGGAGGGGCATGAGAGAGCAGCCAGGCCTCGGCCTGTCCTCATCACTAGTCTTGGGATGTAAGGGACAGCCCTCAGTGGGGAGCCCCAGCTGCAGGGGAAGTGGAGAGGCGAGCTGCCAATGCAGGGATGCTTGCAAAAGAAAGCTGGACGCTGCAGGCCTGCTCGCCTTCCGTTCTCCACCACAGCCCTCTGGCCCGCTCCGGGCAGCGCCTGATACTTCCCCTGCACTCATCCCCGGCTGGCAGTACGCAGGCAGGGCTGAGGAGCAGGGTGCAGGAAGGGGAAGCCCCCTTGGTTTCTGTCTCATAGCAGGGACCCAGCAGGGAAACCCCAGGAATCCCAAAAGGAAAGCGGCAGCAGTAAGCCTTGGGGAAGACCGAGAAACTCCCATCCTCTCCCTGAAGATGGGAAATCCAGAGTGTGGCTGAGGGCGGGCTTGAGCTAGAAGGAACCCCTGGACTCGACTCGGAACCCCTGTGCCCCACCAGAGCCTGGGGACTGCTTCAGGTCTTGGTGACACCAGATCCTGACCTGGGAGCTCCAGCTTGGCCGAAGACTGAGCCCTGATCCTGACCAGTGACTGAGCTCTTGTCCCACCCCACGCCTGAGTCCTCACCTGATCACAGCCTCAGTTGGAACCTCAGCCGAAGATGGACGAATGAAGCTCTAAGCCCATCCTGCCCAATCACAAGCAGAGGCCCAGGTCATGGATGGCTCTGAGCACAAATAGAAACAGCAGGGTTGTTGGCTGCAGATCAGGCTGAGTCCAGCCATAGATCAAGTCCTGACCCCGGATTTAGACTGGGCTCTAATCCTATATTTCACTCTGGCCAGAGACTCAGCCCTTGGCCCTGGGTGGAGCCGAGGCCCTGGTCTTGTTGTGGAGAGCTCCACCTGCCAGCTTCCATACTCTCACATCGGGCCCCCGCCCGCCCCACTCACTCATCCCAGCTGCCCCTGAGCCCTGACTTTGCTCACCACGCCCCTGCCCGGCATCTGGGGAACCAGAAGAGAGTGACGATGACTCAGACCCCCAACCCCCTCCGGTGGGCAATCCCCCTACCTGGCCACCCATCTTTCAGAGGACAGTGGACTGGTGATGCTCTTGGATGAATGATGGTGACTGGGCAGAAAGGCAGGAGGGGTCAGAGCATCTGGGAGCCTCCAGGGACAGGGCTGGAGGCTTCCCCAAGACAGGAGCTGAGGGAGGCTGGGGCGGGGAGCTTAGCAGCAAGTCAGGAGCTCAGGTTGACTGAAACCCCAGCTTCCCAGCCCCCATGCCCTCCCCCTCTGGGAAGGGAAATTACATTTCCCCATTTTAGCAAGAAGGAAGACTGATTGAATTCAAAGCTGAAAGTACAAGTAGGAAGGAAAGTGAAACCGGGTGCAGCCCCCAGTATAAGACTCCCCTACCCAGGAGATGGCTGGACAAGGAGGCCGGGCCCTGACATGGGCCAGAAGGCAGGGGACCTTGGTCGGTGTGAGTCAGAGGCCGGGCCCGGGCGGAAGCTGGGAGGCCGGGTGAGGGCAGAGGACGGGAAAGCTCCACTGGGGTGGCTCAGACCAAGGACTCAGCGGGGCTGGAGGGTGGAAATGAGAGCAGCTTGTGGGGCTGGGGCTCGGCTGCTCCAGGGTGGGTGGGGGCAGCACAGAGACGGGGGCTGGAGGAGACTCGAGTGGGACGGATGAGGCAGAGCAGCGAGCGTGGCTGGGGCTGAGACAGAGGTCAGCTGGAGGAAGAGCAGCAGGAGGACTTGACTCAAGTTGACTGTGAGGCCAAGGAGCCAGCCCCTACTGGGTCAAGGGGCTTTAGTCTGAAGTTTGGAAAGAGCCCAGTCTGCAGCTGGTGGTTGAAGAACTCGGGGCCAGACCCAGAGCCACAGCAGAGGAGCAGGTGAGGGGGGTAGGGCCAAGGGCTCAAGGGTGAGGAGGAACTGAGGAACCTTGGAGACCAGGGCCAAGGACCCGAGACTGGGTGCCCAGGCCAGGGAGGCCCTGAGCAGCAGCGCTCAGGAGGAGGGGTGCGGAGGAGGCAGCACGGCTCACTCCAGGGGCCTGAATGCCCGCCCTGCCCCAGCCTACAGCCAGGAGAACCCTATCCTGCCTTGTCTTGGGGTGCCAGAGGGTCACAGGGTCTCCCAAGCCATGCAGCCCACACCCGGAGATCTTGGGCATTGTCCACTCCCTCTGGAAATCCTCGGGCTCAGTGGCTGTCCCCAGCTGTCCCCGTTCACCTCCTCTGAGGGCCACTTTAAGGGGCAGAGCTCAGGGGTCAGAGATCCTGGGGGACAGGGCAGGGCCTGGAGAGCAGCCAGGGCAGGGCTGGGCTTGGGGGTCAGTTTGGGTTCAGGTTTCGAGAAGTGCATAACTTCCAGGACTGCTAGATTTCCTCACCCCTAGGAAGAAACCACTGAACACCACCCGCTTCCCGGAGCCGACACCTCACAGCCCCTCTCCTCTTTCCAGGAAAGCAGGGCCAAAGCACCCCCACATTAGGCAGTCTGACCCCCCATTTTATAGTTGGGGCCTGAGAGGCTCTTGCTCAGGGACACAGAGATGAGGCACAGGGCCTCTGCCCATCCCGGAGACCCCAGTGCCGGGCAACCGACCTGCCTTCCAGGAGGCTGGGCCAGTCCACCAGGCCCCTGGGCTTGAGGGGCTGCTTCAAGGCATCAGAGTCATCCAGCTGAGCCCAGGAATCCTTGGCAAAAGTGTCTCCACCTTGGGGCAGGTGGTGGCCACCTCTGAGCTGCCTGGGGAAAGTACACGGGCTCTGCCTCAGACAGATTTGGGTATCTTATTATCTGACTTTCAGTCCAGCAACTTCACTGAGCTTGAGTTTCCTCCTCTGCAAAGTGAGGAGAATAAGAGCAACCGGATAGCCATGCACCACTGTTCAGTTGTCCACTGAAAAGGCACCTGACCAAGTGAGTTAGTGGGAGTCGAGAACCAGCCTGGGATCTGCTTGCAAACGTGGGCACTTTGTCCCGGGATGGTCCCCCCGCGGTTGCTAAGGGCATTTTGAAGATGCTCATGAAAGTGCATGGAGCTTGCCCTCAGTCCAGGCTTGGCAGAGGCGCGTCACCTTCCCTCTCCGGAATTCTTCTCAAACCATCCTTTCTTTCATTTTCTTTCTTTCTTTGGTTTCCTTTTGTCCTTTCGAGACAGAGCCTTTCTATTCCAGGCTGGGCCTTCAACTCAGTTTGTAGTTCAGGCTGTTCTCAGACTCAGAAATCCTGCTGCCTCAGTGCTGGGATCACAGGCATGCGCCATCATGCCTGGCTTCAGGCCCCCAATTGTTCCCTCCTTGTCTTTCCAGGGCTCAGCCTGCTGCCACTCTCCTTGCTCCTGGTGCAAGCCAGTGTGTGGGGGTTCCCAAGGCCACCAGGGGCGTCCACACTGCGCACCGAGCTCGCTGTCAGTCTGCATCTCACCAGGAAGCTGCTCTCAGAGGTTCAGGGCCAGGCCCACAGCTTTGTGAGTTTCCCAGGTCACTGGCTCTGGGCTGGGAGACCCAGGCCCTGCTGCCCCCATCCCGCTAACATACCTCGGCCCCTCAGGCTGAATCACACCTGTCTGGAGTGAGCCTGGATCTCCTGCCCCTGCCGCAGCAGCTCCCCAGTGTGTCCCTGACCTTCCAGGCCTGGCGCCACCTCCCCGTGAGTGAAATGAGTGAAAAACCTGGCGGGGGCTTGGGCGGGCTGCTCAGGCACGGAATAGGAGAGGTTCGGGACAGTGTCAGAGTGAGCCTGCTGTGTGCTTGGAAGCCGGCACCCGGGAATGGGGCTAGGAAGCAGGTAGGACAAGCTGGGCCCAAACAAGGTGGGGATAGGAAGGAATGAAGCTGGACTCAGTGATGGGAAGGGGGGCAACACGTGGTGGTACACACCAGAATCCCAGCACTTGGAGGCTGAGGCAGGAGAAAGTTTGAGCACAGCCCAGGCAACTTAGTGACTCAGTGAGATCCTGACTCAGAATACAAAATACAAAAGGGCTGGAGACGTAGCTCAATGTGAAGGCTCTGGGTTCAATACCCAGTGCAGAGAGGGAGGGAGAGAGGGAGAGAGCAAGAGAGAGAGGGAGGGAGGGAGAGGGAGAGAGAGAGGGAGAGGGAGAGAGGGAGAGGGAGAGAG